CCTTTCAGCCTTGAATTGCGTGCTGTACTCGCTCGGCTATTGATAACGTTAATTATTACCGCTCCTGCTCGTAACGGCCGCTAGGGCCTACTCACCAGAGCCTACAGTCAGTGTAGCGAACGCAGTCAAGCCTAACATAACGACTGGTATTATACAGGTTAGGCTATTGAGGAATATTGGAATTATGAATTTTGGATGTGCTATGAATATGACGACACTGTGACGTCATTGAGCGACGAAACAAGCTCAACCAATAGCAGCGCTTACTAGGGCCCTATGTTCTTGATTGACCTAGGAAAAAAAATTACGCTGACCGTAGCCTTGCACGTTTTGGTTAGATGGGTTCGCGGCCTCACTGTTTCTGACAGACGGTGCGAGTTTAGCGCTGGGGACCAGTCTACTTCCTGGCTAGCATTGGTTTATAATTTTATGACGTAATGGCGATGTCAGGTGCTGATGGAAACGGCTGTGATTGGCCATTTGTAAAGTGTCGCCAGCGACAGTTGCTGGAAAGTAGAAACCGAAACGTTTCTAAATATTTTTGTCGTCGAGGTTGTCATCGGTCGTCGTCGCGTCAGTGTGCAATGGCCACTGATCTCTATAATATAATCGTATGATTATATTATAGAGATCAGTGGCAATGGCTTATAGGAAACAAGTTTCTAATTTTTTGAAAAGTCGTTTGTTGTTACGGTACTGTCGGTAGGTCGTTGTCGCTGCAGTGTCACTGAGTGTGTCTTCAGTCTTTATTACTTTGGTATGTACTCTCCTCCTTAGGTATGGGACATCTCCTGAAATGCCCCTTATTGCCAGAGCCATGTAGCCCTGGAGACCTTGAGGCTTTCAACCACCGTGCCAAGTCCTGTGTGCTGCAGTGGCTGGGCCGAGTGTAGTGTAGTGACCCGAGAAGAAGAAGAAGATTACTTTGGTAGTAAATACATTTCGTGTTTATTTACCTTTTTTTTATTGAGACGTTTCAAGTGCCTGTGGATCAACCTTATATTAGCACAGAGCATATAAATCATGCTTTGTTAATTATCGAAATAAATAAATCTAAAAAAAAAAGAGTTGACATCTAACTCACATCTGCTCTGCTTAGCGGGCGGCGGGCGGGTACACCCACCGCCATCTATCGGTAAACAATATCATCGCCTCTGATCGCATCATCACAATAACATTGGCTACTAGACTGACAACAGACGTCCATCTGACTATATCCACGAGCTTCATCATATGCGTAACGACTTGTGGAGTACATCTAAGTAACTGCGGCCATGGAAGAAGAAGAAGATAGTCGTCCTCAACTTCAAGTTTCTCATTTTTTGACTTTACCAAACGAAATTCAAGAGTATATATTTTCAAGCAGATGTCTTGACGTTAAAGATTTATATCGTATCGTTTGCACTTGCAAGAGGTTCCGAACTGTGTGCGACAGTGGGGATCTTGTATGGCGGTTAAAGTTGCAGCAAAGGTACGGCCTGGACCCTAGGCACTGGCAGCAAGAACCAGTCCGCTGCAGCTATAGCCTATACGCTATAGCACACACGCGGCCATTGACTATATATAACAACATATTATACGTATATATACATATATATATATATTATACATATATATACGTTGTTATATATAGTCAATGGCCGCGTGTGTGCTGTAGCTGCAGCGGACTGGTTCTTGCTGCCAGTGGGCCTAGGTACCAGTACTACTACTAGCAGGAGTAAGATAATATCCTATATTATCTTACTCCTGCTACTAGTACTAGTAGTAGTAGGCAGTACAGTTTACCCTCTACAGCAGCTCTAGTAACTATAGCCCGCGTACAGTTGCTGCAAGCCTGCGGCAACTGTACGCGGGCTATAGTTACTAGAGCTACCTCTACAGTAAACAACATGGACAATAATATACGCGCTCGTATGTTACTGCTTTAGTCTAGAAACCACACCTCCTTGACGTATTTCAGATTATTCTAACCACTATACATCTTGGGGCTAAATGAACATAGATGTTATGGGGATTGGGTAGAGCAGATTAAATATTACTTGGAATCAGCCTGGAAGCTCCGGAACAAAATCTCCCGGTAAAGTGAAATTACCGGTGAGAAACTCAAAAATAAAAAGGGAAATATCGATCTAAAGGTTCTCGTTCATACATACATACATACATACATACATACATACATACATATATTGTGTCCTATTCAGCATGCTTTTAAAAATTACAGTCGGGTACAGTGAAATAGTCTAGATCTACCTGTAGTGTATGTGTACAGTGAGTGTATCACGGTGTGCGAGGTACGTATAAATATAATATAGTTAATACATATATACGTATTATCCCTTCGCTTCACCTGCAGTGTTGTGAAGCAAGGGGCTATAGAGAGCTATTCTGGCACCGAGGCAGTAAATAAAAGAGTAAAAAGATGCTTGAAGAAAGAGAAATTAGCTTGTCAGTGAATCGTGATTGTTCAGCAAAAAGTGATACCTTGATGAATGATGGTCACACGTAGGAATCACAGTTAGAATTCAATTATAATTCAGTAATAATAATAATATTATATTGAGTAAATATATATATACCTACAGGTGGCCTGGTCTCATCAGTCAATTAAAAACGAGCCAAGTGAGCTGCTGGAAGCGTGAATATCGACAATTCTTGGAGAAAGTGAGATGCGTCCATAAGGCTGTCAGCAGTCTTTCAAGAAAGTTCTACAAGAAGGAAGAAGTGTCCAATTATGGGCTGAAGCCATTTCTGGATTGTGCATCAGACAATGTCAACAGCGTAGAACTAGTCGTGCACGAGCTAAGAAGAATCCTAAACACTGGTAAAACGTACGTTTCCTGCCTCCAGCCTCACTAACAATGCTAGTGACATTTAATAATGCCTATATATACACTCATGTGCCTTCTTAATTACCAGGGTTTGACACTAACGCTAGTCCGTTAGTCCGAGACTAGTAAAAAATAAGGACTAGTAAATGCCCCATAGCTGTTAGTCCTGTGGACTAGTTATTTTCCCCGTCCCTCATCGTCCCAATTTCCCATCCTCCCATCAATTTTACTGTAGTCTCCGGCGGCAGCTTCTCTCAACCAAGATCCAAAGAGCTATATATATATACTCATTGCCATCAACAAGTTTTTCTTGTTTAATAGACGCGCTAGTACAAGTATACACTATAGCACGCTCTGCACGCTCTAAGCACGCTAGAGACCCCCTATGACAGTACAAACATTGTTAAAAACAATGGGGCCACGAACCAGTCTACCGATCGATCGTTTGTCAGTAGCTATCGACATAGAACAAACGGTCTGATTGTATAAATGACACAACTAATCAGTTTATACGCTCTCATAGCGAGGTATTTACATCGCAACCACATCGCATGCGTGTTTTACTCGAAGCTGTCGATACAAATAGTTTATATCTATAGTAGTGATACAAGTAGTGAAGCATAGTACAGGGTTTCTTCTGAGGGAAAATTAGACAAAGGAGGTAATGGCCAGTTTTGGGAAAAAATGTGCATGATGGATTCAAATACAGGATGTATTGATATACTTATATAGGTATATAGATACAGGATATACTTATCAGTAAATACAGGAACATTTTTGCAACGGAGATGTTAAATTTGACAACGGCGGTGCGCCACTGTGCCTCTTATGTATAAGAAACCCTGTAGTAGTAGGTGCATCCTTATTCAATACTAACATCAAGGTTGTTATGTGAAAGTATTTGGACGGAGTTCGTCCTCCACCTCCCAAACGTAAGTCGCAGGAGGAGAAATTAGATGGCCAGCGTGACTATGATAAGACCAAACGGATGTGTACGTTCCAGCCAGCATTGAAATCGTCATACCTGTGGCTAGAGTATGAACCGGCCAAGGGAAAGGGTATGACCTGTGGTGCAGGCTGTATGTCTGGTAGTTTTTTTACCGGCACTACAAACTATCGTTTGGAAACTGTTAAAGCGCATGATGCTTTCGAGGGGCACCGAAAGATCATAGCAAAAATAAATGCAAGGACCATGCCAGGGCAAAAACACTAACTTTAATGAACAAGGCAAAAATAGCAAAACTGAATATTCTAATTAGAAGTGCACATGCTATTGGAAAAAACGGCAGGCCCTACACCGATTACGTCAAGCTGTGCCAGCTTGACAAGGCCAAGGGTTTAGATGTCGGCAGCACTTACCTCACCGGCAAGGCCTGCCAAAGGTTCATTACGGTGATAGCCGATACAAGGCGCCGGGAACAGTTTGGAGCTATAAATGAGGCCAAATTCCTTGCTGTGATAAGTGACGGATCCACAGATTCCTCATCAAAAGAGGGCAAAATTTTATTTTTGAATTTTAATTTAATTTAATTTAAGTTTTAATTTTATGATCCATATCAAAGTTACGTATATTTTATACAATTGAATGTCTTTTACAAAACTTTTCTGGGGGACACCCCTTGTACCCTAGGGGAGACCCCCTGTACCCCCTAGCAGAAGGGGGCTCCACCCTCCTACCCCACCTACCTCCTGGCAAATCACAATGCTTGTTGCTCTGCGCCTAGTAAGAGTCCTTCGGCAGGACTAGTAGAATCTTGGAAGGACTAGTACATTTTTTCTTTTACTAGTCCTGTCGACTAATGAACTAAAATGGTTAGTATCTAACCCTGATTACATGCACTGATTTCTGCTGTTTTTTGATGAAGATAAAGTTCTATAGAGATTTATATTGTGTCATTTATAATTGCTCCAGGGAATGCAATCTGACGGAGAAGTATTATTCGAACAAAGCACTGAGTTATATTCGGCATATTCAGCTTACAACGTCATGGCAACGGTTTCTAGAACAGCCACATGATAAACTCAACCTTCTCACAGGTAAACAAGCACACGCTGCATGGTATCATGGAATGTATGAAGGTATATCGCCAACAGTTTTGTAAATTCCAGCCAGACTGAATTATTCTTGTTGTCGTCCATGCACAACTTGTAAGACACAAGAAAACTCAATAGCTACATGTATTTATTCAGTCCATATCCGCCATCCTGACATATATCCTCCGCACGCATATTCCCAATCCTCAACATACCCAAGGCTCTCCAGGAACTGCTGAAGGCAGCTGAACTGATACGACCAACATTCTTGCTGTTCCCGAAAAACTTGACCGATTTTGGCGCACATACTGTGGCTGGTAGGGTCTATGTCCCCATGACCTCTGTTTGACCTGGCTCGTTTAGCTATTTCTGACTAACCCTAACCCTAACCGTTACCCTATATATATATTATATATTATATATATATATATATATATATATTAGTCAGAAATAGCTAAACGAGCCAGGTTAAACAGAGGTCAGGGGGACATAGACCTTATCTGCCATACTATGGTCAGGTGCAGCTAGTAGAATGCAAATGAACGACAGCAGAAATCTATTGCTTCATGCATGAATCGTATTCGGCATCTGCGGCAGCAATCCTGAAGATATTACTGTTATTGTTACAGTCGGGTAGATATGTATTGCAGGCAATTGGTCAGGTGCTTGCGCGCGTGACAGTGAATGATGTATGTACATGGTTGATGCTGCTCCTCTCTCTAGGTGCAGTACTGATAGCGGAGTGGTGTCAGCCGTGCGTTGCTGGCATGGAGGAAGATGTGCAAGTGCAGATAGAGAAGCTGGCTGCAGACGTGAGAACACTGCTGAGCATCCGCTGCCCCGCTCATCCGGTCACCTGTGTGGCGAACCCTGCTGGCGATTCATGCCTCTCAGGTGTGCGTTAGAAGATTAATTACACATTCGCCAGCGTATCAAGCGACTGCTGCACCTTGCAGACGTCAGTTCATAGTTCCAAGACCTTTTAGTGAGCGCGACTTCAGTTAATTACATGGGAGTAAGATGATTATAGTTGCATCATAGTATAGTCATAGCTGGTAGTTTCATTTTACAGACGTAGCTTATGGTTGCATAATATCAAGAGCGTATTAAGGATACTTGGTACGATAATATGAATGCAGTTGTGCGTTACAAATGGGTGCCAATCACAAGTGTGCATGCATAAAAACTGTGACTACAGCTATGTGTAGCAATATGCAGCATGTAAAGAGTATCCCACTCTAACATTTACTGACACCAGTTGCGTGGAACATGATTATACACCTTGGTCTCACCTGTGACTTGTTTATGTCGCTGTTCAGGTCAGAGTGGGTTAACTCCCCAGCAATGCAGACATGTTCTGGAGGCAGTCAACATTGTTCTGTTTGAGCGGCAGGGTTATTCGGGTAATGTTGGTAACTACTACGACGAGCGCAACTCCTACATAAACGTGGTAAGCTAACCCGCACTGTATGTTAATGAGTCGTTGAATGAGCCAGTTTGGTATAACGTGATGATAATTGTATCCCCGCGACGAAGTCGGCGGGGATACTATGGTTTCATGTCTCCCCAGCCGCCGCCGCTGCCGCTCGGTCCGCCGCAGAGAATTTCCCTTCAGCTCTATAACTCGACCCCTAATTGACCTAGCGTGACCAAACTTGGTATACTTACACATCTTGGGGAGAAGGTGTGCAGAGTACCAAA